TATCGTGGCATGAATATAAGCAAGAGCGAACTTGATAAATATAAGGAAGGATCATGTATTCTGACAAAGTCATTTCTTTTCTCATCCAATGATCGTAATATCGTCACCAAGTTTGCTGATAGCTCACCTTCAAACAATACTATCAATATCTTATCTATCTATGAGGTTTACAATCATAGAAGTGGACTTAATCTCAAAGAAATATTAGTGTTTCCAAACGAAAAAGAAATTCTGATCATGCTACAGACGATCTTTAAAATTATGGATGTTATCTATTTGTATGGAAACACTACCAGAATTGAAGCCGAAATAAAGCTAAAAGAATATAAATCCTGGTAATATGAACAGACTACATTTGAAACTTTTCTTATCATACCATGATCAATCAATTTTAATATTTTGCTTATTTATATATACAAGAAAACTTGAAGTTGATGATTTTTATTTGTCTATCTTGAGAATGAGAGCATGAGTTCATAGAAGGACCTTCAGAGAAGCTCTTTCATGGTCGTTTCAGTCTTGTTCTACAACTTTGGTCAATCATGTTCAGCATCCATCAATCGTTAGATATTGGTCGAATTTATTAAAAATATCTTGAGATTGATGGTGAGTACGAATAACCGTTGCCCATCTAATTGATTTACGAACATAATGTCATTTGGTGTAAGCATGCTCGATGGAGCTTTGATTGTTTTTGTTATGAACGATTGAAAATGTTAAATATTTGAAGATTCTGAATCAGATGAATCAAAAATATAGTGACAGAGCAAACAAATTTTTATCGATTTAATAATATCCAATCAATCAAAAGTCTATTGAAAAATACATTTATGCGCTATCTTGACGATGTGGAGCCGCGAAGGTTGCATAACTCGGTATAAATATAGAAAGATGAAAACGACATTTTATAAGATAGTCTTTTCGTTATATGTGATAGCTTTTTGGATGTAATATCGATGGAAAAAAGTCTCTACTTCTCGATAATATATTACAGCGAAAATAAAGAAGTCCACCTGACAAAACCTGCTATAGAATTAAAGATGTGTCATAGAATGAGATAATAGACAACTCTGTTCGACATTGATTTCATAACAGCAGAGTTGAAGCCGATAGGATTTTTCCCTACTGGTACTGGTACCGGTAGAAACGATCAGACCGAACCAGACTGGCCAATATACCGGAACAAGTCATTGTTCGTTTTCTCGAACCTATAACAGTCAAATCAACCTCTCAATCAGTCGTATATGCGTCCTAATTACAACAAAAATGATATTACAGTGTTCTATTGCGTTCTGCTATTTATATATACCAGCTTTATTTCTCTTGATATATACTGGTGAATTGAAAACTTCATAAGATTACAAATTCTATATCAGCTTTCCACATACGGACGTTTTCACTTGATTGTATATGAAACCTGCTTGAGAATGTAGGATGTGGGTGTGCGTCTAATTATGGTTCTACTAGTGATCAACACGCACACGCATATTCCACATCCACACCTTTATCTCGTTTTTTCTTTTTCTGTTCTTCCCTCTATGGAATTTTTTTGTTTAGCTTTTTATTCTTTTCTGCTTCCCCTTTTGGCTTTTCTTCACGATAAAGGCTTCAAGAATGTTATGATATTTCGAATCTTTGATTATGTTGTCATAGACTATTGCATGCTGTACCATCAAAACTAAAGTTCATCCCCATGTAAGCACTTCCGAATATAACAATAAATAGCTTTATCTAAAAAAAAAAGCGATATATGTTACAATTTCGATCATGAAAACGCGTTTAAATGCATTTTCAAATTCTAACGATCTTTTATCGTTAGATCAATAAATTTTTAATGATTCTTCACACGCGAATTTATCGTGAAACACGTTAAATATGAAAACTGATTAATATGCTGTCCCTCAGAATGTTTCATATATTCTTATTTACAGTAAATATGATGAACTTCCTTCAATAATAAATATCTTGCTTAGTTTCACTCGTCTGAAGAGAAAAGTCTAGCTAATCAATTCAATATTGGATGTACTTTCTAATGAGATGCTTCAGAAAGCATTGCTATCACTATAAATATTTCGTAATAGGTAGCAAAACCAACGAGGAAGTACAATATATTTTTTTATTTTGTGGATGTTTCGAAACTGAAACTATTTATGGCTCTACTGGCTACAATTTTGCATTCTTGTATGTACCAGAAATGTATACCATAGTCGATAGAAATGATAAGACTATTACTAGTTTAAAATCTGGGATATCGACAAAGTTTTAAAAAAAATATTGTACTCTTTGATTTGTTTCGCTATCAATTATGAAATATTTTTAGTGATAATAATGTTATCTTCAGCATCTTATTAGAAAGTGCATCCAATATTGAATTGATTAGCTGAATTTTTCTTCTCAGACGGGTAAAACTCAGCAAGGTATTGATCGTTGAACAAATTTCATCGTATTGGCGATGAATAGCAATATATGAAAAAATCTGAGGAGAATATATTCATTAGTTTGAACTATGGAAAAACAGATTATACGAACTAATATGATTTAATTATCCCTTTCCTCTAAACTTAGTATATCAGTTTACATATTTAACAGAGATGAACCAGTCATATATTTCATATTAGATCTAGATTCTATAAGCGAAAAACTTAACTTAGTTCAACTCATTAACGTAAAAGAGGAACTTATATCGATACATACGTATATAGGTGGTATCTAGCTCGAGTGAGAAAGTAAAAATATCACACGTGTGAAAACGAATACAGCATTTAACGATAGATAATGAGTTAGTTATCATTACAATGACAATCACGTGTGAGAAAACGTGAAAAATGTAACGCATTAAAACGAATTTTTCAAATCTAACAAAAATTCGTGAAACTTCATTAACTTGCCTTTTAAGGCAACTTTTAGCCTTAACTGGAACAATTATTTCGCTAAACTTTTTCTTTTATCATCTGGAGGAGAAATGATGAGGTACGAAGTACAGAATTACATTCCTTTACATATAAAATCCATAGTAAATTTTGAAAGAAAAAAATGAAAGAAGATTATCTTTGTCTAAAATTAATTCAAGTGGTTTTGCTAGCGATTAATACAAAGTCGAGATTTCTTTAAAGGAGAGTTCTGTTTATTCTGATAAAAAGTTTTTGATATCTGGATTGATATAATTCACAGATACACTTGATATTTCGTAAATATAAGTCTTTCAAGATGATTTTTGTGTAATGTGTATAAACAAACATGTTACACAAAAAATCATGAATATTGTACACATAAAAATGATTAATAGATTGAATGATGGATAATTAAATGATGTTCGTTTAACAATTAAAATTTTCATTAAAACTCGTTAAAATATTTCACTCATGAAAACAGTTACTAGATTTAATGAGAATCATTCAGTTAAGTTTCGTGAAAAATATGGAAATTCAGGAAAACACGTTAATATGTTTAACACATGAAAATGAATACCAAGCTTAACGATATTTAACATGGTAAGATTGGTTAAAAATAAAAAAGAATTCAAGAAATATCGTTAAACGTCTTAACGCGTGAAAAATCTAATGCGTTTACACGAGTTTTCGAAATATAACGAAAGTTTATGAAATTTTCCTCATGAAATTTCGTTAATTTGTCTTTTAACGCATCTTTTTTTTGCGTTAATTTTAAGAATTATTTCGTTAAATGTCTTTCTATTTTTACATGGGTAATAATAACTGTTTTTAGCATCTTCCACGTCCATCGTTTGCTGTACGCTATGAATGCATGTTGACATCTGCAACACGGTAAAAAGGAGAAAGAGAGCAACATATGACTCACATTTATATGGAAGAAAATTTTGCAAAAAAACACAGTAGATGTGTGTAAAAAAATAAACATAGTCATTAATTTCGCAATCGACTTGCAAGAAACGACATGTCAGAGACAACGACTTTTTACGATTTATGTGCAGA